TTTAAATATCTATAGTAGTCAGTTATTAAATAGCTGATTGCATCTTCCTTTTGTATTCCAAAACTTGGGCTCTGAAAAAAATCCAGTTGTTAACCTTCTACATAGCTCAGCAAAGCATTTTCTTAAACAAAATACCTTTTTTGTATAGGCTTCTTACAAAAACAAGTAATTCTACCTTCTGTGTCAATTACAGACACTCCTTTTTGAAATGTTTTAATATTGCCATTTTCTGATACACTCTCCTCTTGGTTTTTGTTTTGCATACTTTAATAATACTTTAAAATACATTCTTTAAATTTTTTGTGATAAACTACAAGTTGGATGGGAATTAGAATATCTTTAGCTTTCTAAGTATTATATTTAAGGGAATGAGTAGTGGAAGAGTTAACTATTTAATTGAAAGTCTTATGTTTTCTCTTTATATTTTTTTTTTCTAATTCCAGGCAAAAAATGGAGACTCAGTTGGGTGCTTTGATACTTGCTACAGATATCAGTCGCCAAAATGAGTATCTGTCGTTGTTTAGATCTCATTTGGATAGAGGAGACTTATGTCTGGAAGAGGCCCGTCATCGGCATTTAGTTTTACAGGTAAACTGGGGGTGGGTTGGAAATACTTCACTTCTTAAATAAATCACATGACTAATTGAGTAAAATGAAATCTTGCAAGGCAGTTCTTCAGAGTTGGTTACTGTATTTCTATGCTGTATGTTTTATGTTCTAAGGTTTTTGCTAGCACATGCTATGCTGACTTTTTAATGTCCTAGAACGCAAGTGTTATTTCTCTAACTAAAGGGTTACCTCAGAGGAAGCTGACGATGTTCCTTTAGTGGCCACATACTTTTCTCTGGGAGATTTCCAGTGAAAGCCGCATTTCATTCATTCAGTTCTCTCATCTAAAACATGACTAATTTATGTGTATCTTAGTAATTTATTTAGACCTATGTTTTGCACTTGGCTCTGTGATACTATCTATCATGTAGAATTCAGTTAGTAGTCTTGTAGTTTCTCTCTTAGCTTCTCAGTAAAAACTGTTGATAGTAACATCACAAAATTTATATAAATGATAATACATTTTTTGATGTCATCTTTTTGGTTTTTTTCTCAACATTTTCCCCCAGGAATACAGTATATTTAAATTTAATATAACTGAGATTTACCGTTTTTTTAAGAAACCAATTTTAGTATTTTGTTTGCTAGATGGCTTTGAAATGTGCTGATATTTGTAACCCGTGTCGGACCTGGGAGTTAAGCAAGCAGTGGAGTGAAAAAGTAACAGAAGAATTCTTCCATCAAGGCAAGTTACAATTTGAGTGATGATTATTCAGTTTCGTTTTTAGCAACCCATGAAATAAAATACTCAGCCATTTATAGGAGGCTAGCAGTAGGTGTTTGATATTTTTAGTGATAATTCACAATCGATGCACATAAAACCACTAATGTTTAAACTGAGTATGTGTTTTGAAAATTAGCAGTCCTCTTTGAAGTGATGTAGGACACAGCAGTTTATTCTAATTCTCACATCAACAATTTGAGAGAGATAAGTTAATTTATCTGTAGCTTCATGGTTGGTCTAGAACAGGCTGTATGCTTGGTCCTTCAGTATTCTCAAGCATATTTCATTCATGTGCATACAAGAATATGCCTCATTTTGAGTGAAATATCTCAGTCACAAAAGGACAAATACTGCATGGTGCCACTGTTGCAGAACGGGACTGATATCAGGGTTGGGGTAAGACAGAAAAACTGGATAAATCATGTATACTGCATTAAAACAGATGAGGGAGAGAATAATTTAAAAGC